ATTGCCAAGAAGCCGTGAAAATTTCGAACAAAATTAAAATAAATGAAATATTATTATTTTGATGATTACAAATTTAGGTAGCTAATATTATAAATACGAATGGGAGTTTGTTTGTTTGTTTGTTTGTTTCTGTGTGTGTATTTGTTACTCAAACACTTCAAAACGGCAAAAGGGATCGAGATGAAATCCGAAAAAAATCGCGGGTTACTCACGTGAATATACTGAGAAAAGCTCTACTAGTTTCGAACCACAGAGGGGTTCTTCCTCATGAGCTGCGCGGTCGCGGCGATGTCGCGCAGCCGTACTGACTATAGTTATTATAAAAACATGTCTGTAGATGTCATGATGTAGGCATCCGCTAAGAAAGGGTTTAGAACAATTCTATCCCCAAGGGAATACATTTTTTCAATTTTGACAATTTTCAACGGATCGGACTGAGACTTTGCATGCATAAAATTACTATGACGTAGGTATCCACTAAAAAGGAGTCTGATAAATGCCACCCTTAAGGAGATAAAATAGGGGATGAAAGTTTGTACTAAATCATCTTAGATTTTTTGACTGATTGAACTGAAATTTAGGATTGGAGCTACTACGATGAAGACTTCCACTTAAATTGGATTTTTATCAATTTAACCCCCATAGGGATAAAATAAGGGATGATGAACGATTCAAATGTATTAGTTTGAACCTAATGGTACGAATACATTAAGACGACCAAAATAATTTTTAGTTCTAAATGTTGACAATAGATTTAGAACCTAAACCAGTCTCCTAAACCATTGAATCGGTATAAATGAAATTTGTTATACCTAGACATAGTTTGAAACTCGAAAAATAACCGATGTCATTTCAGTAGTCCCACGATTACCCACGTCATTTCTCGAGTTTTTGTCCCTGAAATTCCTCGGGAACGGGAACTACGGGCGTTAAAACCCGGGATTCTCTGTCTTTTAAACTACTTGATAAGTTGGAAAGAAATCGATACACCGCTACAGAAAAGACAAGAAAAGACAGATAATATGTTTTATCCTGAAAATCTCACGGGAACGGAAACAGTGTTGTTAAAATCCGGGTCTCACTAATTTCTAAACCACTGAATCCATTTATTATGTCTGATACGGACATAGTTTGAGATATCAGGGAACGGGAACAAGGGCGTTAAAACCCCGGGATTTTTTATCTTCTTAACTACCGAATCGGTTTGAATAAAATTTGGTGCAAATACATGTAGTTTGATACTTAAAGAAGTACGTATACATTTATTCCGGTAATTCTGTGGGAACGGGAACTATGCATTAACATCCCACAACTCTCTATCTTTTGAACCATTGAAACTTTTTGGGTTAAAATCCCCGAATACTTCCTCTGGACCGCATTCAGCGGCGTGCCGTTCAGATTATTGGATGTCGGGATGTTTCAAACCGTAGAGAGAGAGATGTAATGTAGAGATGTAGCTTCATTGTACATTTTCTATCGCTTATACAACGGGGAGTGCTCTGAGGAATTGTTTGACCTGATACCTGCCGCATCTTTTCGCCATCGGCCCTCACGACAGCATATGTATCCCCATCATATAGATGGTTGGCAGGCCAACTGTGCGCTTCTCACGTAGCTTCCTGCGTCGCACAGCAAAATTGTGGAATGATCTGTCGTCGGCGGTATTTCCGAACCTTTTTGAAAGAATGTACTCCTTTTTATAAGGCCGGCAACCGGCCTGTGACTCTACTGGTGTTGCGGGTATCCATGGGCGGCGCTGATCGCTTACCATCAGGTGATCCGTCTGCTCGTTTGCCTCCTATACCATAAAAAAATACGGGAATTATGCGTTAAAGCCCCGGGACTCATTATTTATTAAAGCACCGAACTTATTTCAATTAGATTCATTTCATTTATAGTTAGGTACTGAATCGATTCTGATGACGTTTGTTACAGCCGTTGATTATACTTTGGAAAATACTGATTCAAACACCCGAATACTGCGGACGAAGTCGCAAGCAAAAGCTAGTGGTGCTAATAAATATGGATAAATATAACAATAAAAGGATAATATGGTTAATAACTATTTTTATCGCTTAAATAATATTTAAAATAAATGTACTGTAGTGTTACGGAGCGTTTTTTATAATAACGTTTTTGTAAGAATAATTGTTTACAAAACTTAGACGTATACCTACTTTGTACGTTTATTAAGGCGTCTAGAACTGGCAAGTTAAATTAAAAATGTTTTTTTTAATGGGACAAGCCCGCCACAACCTCCCAAAACTCCTGTAAGCCAAGATCTACAGTAGATACAACCATGAAAACATCGGAACACTAAAGTCCGGCGCGTCCCAGGGACATGAATAACTGTCTTGGTTCCCGCAACGAAGTGAATCAGAAGTATGAAGTGAGTTAACGCACCCGCGACACGGGAGAAAATCCTAGTGTGGGATAGCGTTTTAAAAAAAGAAAAAAAAACAGAGTTCATATTTTAAAAAGAAAACTAAATAAACATACCTACTTATAGTTACAATAATAAAATGAACATAAAATACAACAACGATACAGAGATCTTAATCAAAACTGACTTTATAATTACCTAGTTTTTTACGCCTAATGCCTTGTTCGCAATATGCTAGTACTTTAGTCAAGCTACAAGTATTTAGTAACTGTCTCTCGCTTCGATTTTGGGACAGAAGCGAATGGGATATTTTAAACAATCGGTGCTCGACTAAAATACTAGCATAGTGCGAACAGGGCATAGGTGATGATATATTTTTTAGTTTTTTTCTTTTATTTATCTACTAGCCACTTCCGCGCAGTTTCACCTACAGTACCCGCAGTTCAGCCTATAGCCATCCTCGAGAAATGCGCTATCCAACACAAAAAGAGTTATTCAAATCAGACTTGTAGTTACGGAGATTAGCGCGTTCAAACAAACAAACAAAAAAACAAACTCTTCCGCTTTATATAATAATATATAGTAATAAGAGTATAAGATTGTTTTAATATATTTGAAGTTGTATTTTATTCATAGTTACCTGAAGCCTCTAGTTTCGCTGGCATGGATCACGACTAGTTTAGTACGATAGTCACTTTGTGACTAACCTATAAAATGTCAACCGTATTTTCAATCCTATGCGTTTTTACGTATTTTAATCCAGCCATAATGCAAGTTATATAGACCTACCTAATTAATTCCGGTGCCTTTAACCAAACGCCACTTTAGCGCTTGTCTACAGAGAGAGTAGAAATCAAAATGTATGGGGATGACACCGACAAGTGTCAAAATTTATGTCAATTCCATATAATTTGGTTTTCTATTCTACATGTAGACAAGCGCTAAATGGCATTTGGCTACAGCTGCTGCTTTGACCCCTATTTCACCTCATATTGAGTATAATTTCCGGAACTGCTGAAAAACTTATTAAATTATTAGCTTAAATACACAGTTCAGTATTCCTTAGTTAGTTTATTACCTTTATATCAAAAATAATATAAATCCCATACAAACCTTTGACCCCTTTTTTATATTTGGGTACTTGCCAACTAGTCAAATTCAATACTTTTTTCGAACTGTCAAAAACGGAGAGTTTTCTATGAATTTTCGTACGAGATTGAGTATTGTGACGTCACGTTTTTTTAGCGTCAAACAGCATACTTATTTCTTAAACATTTGCTGGAAAAATACTAAAATTAAGTTGATCATAAAATCAATTAAAAAAAGTGTGATTTTTTTTTTTTTTTGCATTAACAATTGAAATAATTTATTTTTGATGAAGGTAATAACCAAATTATGTTATCTTAGTTTATTATTTGTAAATACAACATTAATATATTTAGTTTCAAAATGTATGAAGTTTTTATCTTCCGACTGCATATGACGAAAGTCCGAATATTTTTAGATGACATGACGTAATTTCCAACGAGTAATTAGTATCCAAGAATAGATTGTGTGTCTTACAGAATCTTCATATATAAAAACAATGTGTAAAACGTAAAATATCTGCCGCTAGGTAACATGAAAAGCTGTAAAAATACGATGGTCAAAATTGACAAAAAATTTTTTGATAAGTAGATACGATTTTTTTTATGTCTAATAAAAATTTTCGTGTCTTTGGGGATGTTAAAAATCCTATCAACTTGAAAATATAAAAAAGTTAAGATAAAAAATAAAAAAGATTTAAGATTCTCAAAAAAAAATATTTGAGACGAACCAAAATTCTCTTTTGAATAAAAAATCTTGTCTTAGAAAATCCTTGTGTAGAAAAGAACATGCAAAATTAAAAAAAAAGTACGAGTAATACAATCAACATTTTTCTTTGCAACTGCCATTTTTTCGTAATGCACACGAAAAAATTTCTTCAAGACGCATTTCTTACGTTGTCAAAGTATGGATCGTCCCCGAAAAGTATTTTTACGTACACAAGTAATATCTAAGATTATTTAATACGATTACCACACCAGTTACAATGGCCAATAATCAGATTAACCTTATACATAATTCTTAACGCGTACACGTCTACATAATATACGCTAAAGTGTGTCAACTTTTGACATTGGCGAAAAAATCGCCCATGAAACGCGAAATTCTATCTAAATTGTCCTGACATCACCTACACAGGACAGCGCATGTCTTGAACCCATTCAGGAACGAAGCGAGAAAGAGAAAGACACAGGAGATAAAGCGAGATAGCGATAGGATTCCTAAAATTCAGGGAAAACCACTTCGCACCGAACATTATATGTATCACATCAATGTTATGTCATTCGTACCAATTTTAAATACCGTCATTTCGAACGTCATTTTTTTTAATTGTATTTCTTAAGAATGTAACAAATTCCATTTGAAACTGAAAGAAAAAATGCGGTAAAACACATTGCATTTTTTTATAGAGTCGGGCTAACGTGGTAACGTTGACGCCTAGACATAATCGTATTACTAACTGCATTAGACAGATTTTAGGTCACACTAACCAATCGAAACCAGTGAATTACATTAAGAATATAGTACTTACATATACTGGAACGGCTCCTGACTGACATAGAACACTGAAGTCTATACATTTGTTAGAAATACCGATGATTTCAACATATAATAACGTACACGGCACGATTATAACCTGCGATCGAAACACAATTTATTTTTACACGAACTAAACATATGATGCGCGGTTAAATTTAAATAAATAATTTAACACGGTGAGGTTTTAATGTGTGTGGTACTAGTTTAGAGGGGAAAAAAATCAATTGGAGACGGTCCGTCGAGTAGCCATTTTGTCTCTGACTGGATAAGCTGGGAACTGTGCTATACGCATGCGCCAAGAGCCGCCCAAATCTCTATGCCCGAATAGATATGAACAGAGTTCTAAAGAATTGTAACCCTCTCATAAACGATGTTACTATCTATTGTCTCAGTTCAAAATAAGAATATTCGAAATTTGAATTTTATTGATGTTGTGAGAATGGAATGGTGAATTCAATTTTCAAAATGAATTTCTTCATTATGTTTTTTAAATAGATTTTTATGTCAATAATTATATTTTAATTTATTTTTTGTTTATTAGTTTAGTATTGTAACGTTAATTAAACAAATGATATCATTGCGTATATGAACGTTAATTTCTTTGATTCCATTTTCAAATATTAATCTACCTACATAATCATTACTGGACAAGTCTAGCCAGTTACAAGTCATCCGCAAAGCGTTTCTATTTATGGAAGGTTCGCGGAACGCAAGATAGATGGCGTTGTTCGCAATAATTGTCTCATAACTATAATTATTGTATCTTAAATTATTATAAATTGGCGTAGTATTATTATCAAAGAATATATTTCTTTCTCTACTCTTATTTTATTAACCACTAGGCGTAACTACGTGATATATAACTTGCTTAGAAACTTCGGAAGTGATTTGCGGAGCATTTATTTCATTTAGATAGGCGTATACTGACCAGATTGGCGATATATTAAAGAAGGGCCAAATTAAAGTACCCCTAACCGACGAGCATGCATTAAAAGATTGATGACTGTTGATGAAGCGAAAGAGGTACCTATGTAGGAACCGTAGTAATTGGCGGTCCATAGGCTCTGGCCCCATGCGAGACTGGCGTGAAGTTGTATAATATAAATATGTTATTTGTCAAATCAATATTTCACCCGCTCTGCTCGGCTCCTACTGGTCGTAGCGTGATGTTTTATAGGCTTATTCGAAAAATGGAGTTTGTACAACAAAAATAAATATTAACTCGTCGAGTACCGTCATTATAGACACAATTATAGAACAATAGGTTGCGGTCACCGGTGACCGCTTGGTGTTTGACAGTTTAATCAATTCAAGTTTCGCGATTTTCTCCCGCGCCCGCCGCGGTTTCGGCCCGCAGCTTTTGTAGAATACCTACTGATAATATGGTCCTATGTCAAAAATCAAATACAAGTTTCACGGCGCGTTTTACGCCCATCAGCGGGTGCGGCCGCGGTCCCGCACCACGAGAAGATCGCGCCATTAGTCCTCAGCCTTAGAAATAGGTATAAGACATAATCATTACTGACTCATAACGAATTAAAACAAACAACAACATAGAGCCTAGTATCAGAAAACCCGACCACAAAACAAAACAAGACGTTAGCTTAACTTCACATAACTGAGGCCTTAGTACGAGTTTGTTTTTCGTTTACAGTAATCGTTACGAGTACGCGTTCGGCGCTCTGATTGGTTGGTTCATTGGCGCCGGCCAATCAGAGCGCCGAACGCGAACTCGTTTCGAATACTTTATACGTAAATCAAACTCGTACTAAGGCCTCTGCCTACTATAACGACACGTCTGTTGTTCCCCGAGATCACAAAAATGTTCAAGTACCTGCAGTTACCTACCCCACTCTGGCAAAGGACATTCCTCAGCGTCCATACATTGTTGGCCCTGGAGCCAAGAGTATCGTATAATTATGTATTGTATTCCCTATCATTTTAGACTCCTAGAAGATCTTGTTTTTATAGCGGACTAGCTGCAGAATCATCATCGACTCTTTCTCCACAGTGACAATAATGCGGAGAAACCCAAGGAGCACCTAAACGTAAGCATACAGCTAGCTAACCAAGAGTTGTATTGTGAACCCGATTGAAAAAGAGTAACGTATGGCGTTTCTTGCTCGTTCTTCTCCTTAAGATAATACACCCTGAAATGCGCAAATAACATACAACAGACTGATATTTTTATGTTTACTTTTTTGTTTTGACGATCAAAAGTTCTTACCTGGGGGCTTACTCTTGAATTCAATTCCGGTCGATGGACATTGGTATTGTGAAATTTCGTACTCTTGAGTTGCAACACTAGCGCTCATTGCATCCGTATTGCGTGGATATTGAATGAACTAAATGGTATTGAGTTTGGCTTTATATTCCGTACTTTAAATGCTGTTTTAACAGCTGTGATTTTGGTTGTATAGTATTGACATTGAATAATTATTGAGATTATATTGGATTGAAATTGCATTGACATTGATTCAAGAGTACCTAAGCACCCTGACCTTAATATTACTTATGCGCCTAAACTTCGCTAAAACAGAAGCATATACCATTTAGGACATATTTCTCTAGCAATGTCAACTGCACAGTTGGCGCAGTGGTTGGGCTGGCTGCCGCGCAACGTGTTGGGGGTTCGATTTCCGCACGGAACAACTCCTGTGATCCACAGATTGTTGTTCCGGGTCTAGGTGTCATGTGTATGTGAACTTGTATGTTTGTAAACGCATCCACGACACAGGAGAAAACCACAGAGCGAGGCCATTTTTTTTTAAATGGTACAATGTACATACTTTTATTTTTTACTCCAAGGAGGATAATCTTTATGGAGCCCCTTCATATGAGGAGAACGAAAGGGATTGTCAGACTCTTATTGACTGGTATCGCGTCTCGCACGTGGCGAGGGTGCGAGAAGCAACAAGAGACATACCTTCTTCAGACTTGTATTTGCTTTCGAAAATTTGTATTATTTGTTTCTTTGGTGTATTCAATATATCTAGCAAATATTTTAAGAAACATTTATGCATATCTACATGCATTTTGTAGCCGTAATTTGACATTAAACTGTCAAACACCAAGCGGTCACCGGTGACCGCGACCTATTGTTCTATAATTGTGTCTATATCGACGGTACTCGACGAGTTAAACTTAAAACTTAACGTATTTTTTTATGTTATAAGCTGGTAAACGAGCAGCCCTATCACCTGATGGTAAGCAATCGGCGTCGCCCATGGACACCTGAAACGCCAGAGGTGTTACAAAAGATGTTACCGGACTTTTCGGGATTAGGAGTTTGAGGATTGTTGGGGATTCAAGGATTGGGGAGATTGGGAAAGGGTAGGGGTAATTGGGTCTCCCCACACGACGAAACACAACGCAAGCGTTGTTTCACGTCGGTTTTCTGCTCGAGCCGACTTATTCGTACCGAAGCATGGCTCTCCCACACTTATGTATCTGAGCATCGCTATATTAAAGGCCAATTTTTCAAACATCAGTTGAATCTTATAATAAATAAATAATAAATAATTCTTAACTGTAGAAAAAAATTAAATTTCACAGGCTCATGAAGAAGAACCCCTCTATGGTTCGAAACTAGTAGAGCTTTCCTCAATATTTTCACATGTGTTACCCGCGATAATTTGACAGTTATGAGTATGGAAGAATAAAATTGTCATATATTCAAACTTGTTCCTCTGATGAAATTTAACTGAGCATTGAAAATCGGCTTGAGTAATATAATTTAATATTAGGACTGCCTCGTTGACCGAGTGGTCGCAAGTGCGACTACCGGGCAAAGGGTCTCGGGTTCGATTCCCGGGTCAGGCAAAGTACTATTGGGTTTTTAAAAAATTCTCAGATGTAGCACGGAATCTGGAATTTTGCCCGGTGTCTGGCAATAGGTTCACCCCCTATTACATGAGACTCATAACATAAATACCTAGTGAAAAGTGGATGTTACATTTAAAGTGGCATTAAGTGCCGTAATGTGGACCTCTGCCTACCCCTTCGAGGATAAAAGGCGTGATGTTATGTTATGTGTTATAATAACAAATTATAGCTTCAACAGGAAAATTAAAACTATTAAACAGCTCGCATATTGTTGTCTATAATAAGTCTATATTTTGCAATCATTTTATCCTGTAACGTAGAATATGCTTTTTGTTACTGTCGACACTTTTACAATTACAACATTTTATACTTTTACTATACTAACATAATTGAACATTTTAATCACAAAGTCAAAGTCACAGTCAAAATCATTTATTTCAATTAGACCAAGAACGCACTTTTGAACGTCAATAAAAAAAAATTAAAGGTATTTGCTCATTCTTTGTAGATTCTTATAGAGAAGAACGAGCGAGAAACTCCATAGGTTACTCTTTTTCAATCGGGTTCACAATACAATTCTCTAGTTGCATAGTCACCGTAAGGATAGGCAGTATAAGACTACTTCAGATGGAACCAGGGCTGGGTTACCAGGGCTGCTTTTTAGTCAGTAAGAATCTGACAGTTACGCCTCGGCCAAGGCAGGAGAAGTCATTGGATGATTTTTTATCTTCGAATAAAAGGTTAGACAGCATGCAAACTAACATAACATCACGCCCTTCATCCCCGAAGGAGTGCCTACTCCTTAATCTGCCTAGATGTGCACATTACGGCACTTAATGCCACAATGTAACACCCACTTTTCACTATTTTATGTTATGAGTCCCATGTAATAGGGAGTGAGCCTATTGCCACATACCGGGCACAATTCCAGACTCCGTGTTACTACTGAGATTTTTTTTAAAACCCAGTAATACATTGTCCGACCCGGGAATTGAAACCGAGACCCCTTGCTCGGCAGTCGCACTTGCGACCTGATTGTATATTTACATTGAATAATCACTATCACTACCACTACATATTCGCGTAAAACAAAGTCGCTATCCGCCGTCTGCCTGTCCCTATGTATGCTTAGTCCTTTAAAACCACGCAATGGATTTTGATGCGGTATTTTTAATAGATAGAGTGAGAGTGAGATTCATAAGGAAGGTTTATACATATGTATAATACATGCATATTGCAACCATGCGAAGCCGGGGCGGGTCGCTAGTTATTGAGTATCAAGAGTAAGCAGTCTGATATGTTAAACTAGTGCTGTTGTTTAAATATGTATTAATTCTTTTATATTAACTATGTTTCAAAAAACCGACTCCAACCCCCTCTTTTTTTGAAGTCGTTTAATATAATTTACCAAAATCTTCTCCTAAGTGACTAACGGCCATTATCTATAACCTATCTATTTGTAGAATAGCTTACTGAGATAGAATTTTGATATTTAAGTTCCAAACAAAATGTGTGAAAGTCTCCAAAGAAAAAGGCCGTAAGTGACAAAACATAGTCAAAATCGATTCAGCCAATTGCGAGATAATCGCGCACGCACACACACAGGTCAAATTGAGAACCTCCTTCTTTTTGAAGTCGGTTGACTATTTAAACCTATGTTTATTTACTTTAAAATGGCTAAAAACCCAGCACAAAAATAACATAATACCGTATAAACTAAACATGTCATAGTTTCATAACATGTTATTGTCCTGTGACTGGATCAAAAGTTTCTTAGTGAAAAACAAAAACATCTCTTACTAATATTTGATCCTAAACCGCAATAGATCAAAACAAATCAATAAGTACACAGGGTGACGATTTGTTTACAATTTTACTTGCATTATGACGTCGCCGCCATATTGTTTTTTTTTTGTGACGTCAATCAATCCTGGCTGAACAGGACAAAACAGTCATCGTGGCAAGCTAACACTTTAGTTTCATTTGACCAATATTGTCCAACAGTCGTTTTAATAAAATAAATTAAAATTAAATTAAACGTTGACAAAATGGGTGCATTGTCATTAATGTTTTTTGTTTTGTGTTCGAATTTTTTATTAATAAAATCGGAAGGTGAGTCAATACGGCACTTTACTTATGAGTAATAAGACGTCTAACGGAAAAAGAATATTAATAAAAAAAAATCAAAATGAAAAAGAAAACGATTTTAAAAATATTTCTCATTATTATTTTAGTGGGTGTTTGTTTATATTTTTGGTTGTTCAATTTCGAAAGTGAGTTTTTTTATTTATTTTTATTTTATTTTGTGACTTTTTAGTTACGATAGTGTGAGTTTGTGTGTGTTTTAAAAAGTGAATAAGTGAAGCGTTTTCAATGTTTCAATTGTTTTAAATTCATCGATTACTGGATACCATAACACTTTAATTCTTTATTTAAAAATATATAGTGGTTTAACAATTTTATTAGATAGTTACCTACTTTCGTTATAAAATAAAATCATCAATTGCCTACTATTCAATTATTTTAGTAACGTTTTTACTTGAATCTAATGGTGTGAATTAGATTATTTCCAAATGAATTTATTCTACTTTAAAACCAAAATATATAGAATAAATTAATAACTATTTTCCGTGAGTTCTTTTAAATTGGAACAATATCACTTCAATGTGCGTTATAATATTACCTAAACATTGTTAAGTGACATTGTAAAATAATAGCTATACAATTATACATACAAGGAAGGAAATAACGTTTTAAAATTACAATTACAACAATTATTAATCGCCCAAAATCCCAATTTTGTAATTACTTGCGTTTTATTACATTTTATATTTGTTCGAATCGTTTTTGATGAGTGAATAGCAGGTTAAAGAGAGTGCAAATGCAACTGCCGGGCCAGGGATCTCGCGTTCGATTTCATGATTGAAAACAATCTCAGTAAAAGCGGAGTCTGGAATTGTGCCCGGTATATGGCAATAGACTCACCCCCTATTACATGGGTCTTATAACATGACTATTCCTGTAGGTGTTACATTGTACAGTGGCATTAAGTGCCGTAATTTGCACCACTGCCTGCCTCTTCGGGGATAAAAATATTTATATGGTAGGGTAAAGCTGTGAGGTGAAGCAGAGTACACATTTATCGCCCTACTCTACCCGCGAATTTAGGGCATTCAAATTCAAATGTTTATTGCATCATTCATGTGTACAATAGGTGTTACATAACTGGGGAGAGGCAGGTTACATTCAACAGACACTAGGCAGCAATGCTCTCTTATATACTGCGTTCTTCAATCCACCTGGAGCGTTAAGATGTTATTTAATTTTATTTTATTCATTTGTCTCACCAACAATTGATTACACTGATCAACACTAATACAATGTAGGGTTACGTTACCGATAACTTAAATACTAGTGCATCAATCTATTAAATAAATAAAATAGATTTATTAAAACAACATAGAACACATTTACAATTACAGTTCGCTCAGATTTTATAGTAATAAAAAGTCTTAATAATAACACTCGTAATAGTTTACTTAATCTATCTAGTCTTATACAATATATATTCCGGCCACCGTAAGCGCGGGCCTGCGGACGGCGAGCATGGGTGGCTCCCCGTCCGACCAGAAACAGACCCGAGCGTACGGCGCGTCGCGTTCCGCGCGCGCCTCAAAGAGCCATCAGACCACCATAGATGGGGCCCAATAGGGCCGATGCCGATTCGGAGTCGCGGAGAACCTAACGGGTAACCGGGGCTCCGGCTCGACGTGCAGGAGAAGGAACGGGGTGGTTTTTAGTCAGTAAGAGTCTGACACTCCCTTCCGCCTCACCCAGGCGGGAGCAGTCATTCGATGATTTTCCCCCCTTAAAAAAAAAATACAATATATATGCTAGGAAATAATATATATAGGGATAGTATATATAGGGATTACCCGAACTAGGTTTATTTAAACCTGTGTTTCAGGCTATCAATGCCAAAAAAATGACTTGATGGATACCTATAATTATAAATAAAAATCGTATTACATAATTATTTAAAGACCAAGCAAGGACAACCTGTCCTAAATTATTAACCAAACATAACACCATACTAGTTAATATGTAGGTAATTCTCTAAAAATAAGCACTTTATTTTAACACTTCTAGTAATTTTTCCGTTTCTGAGTAATTCTGAGTTAAAAAATATTCTGTAAGTACTAATACTTATTACACTTATATAAACTTATACTATAAACTTTTAACAGCCTGTTGAGTTTGTTATATAAATATGGTCCTAAAAATAAATAAAATCTGTTAGTAAAAGCATGTTTCGTCTGAGGGTTAGTGCAAACTAAATCCTTTCTTCTCTTGTCGGAAGATATCGGGCTAAAACCAATTTCAGTATGCTGCAGTAGTACCTACTACGTTAAGGATGAATAACTGGCGTACTGTCAGTACTTTGCATTACAGTATTACAGGAACATGCATTATTTATACTAAATGGTTTAGAAATGCCTATTATCAGATCAGAGACTGGCTAAAATACAATCATCGAGCGACGTTTAAAATTACTAGTAGAATTAGTAATCAGGTGAAATTAAGTATTAAAAACTAAAAACTATTAAAACTTAAAATCGACGATACGAGCAATAAAGGCACTTATGACACAATCTTACATCTTGTACTTCTTATACTATTACATCAAGCGGAAGAGTTTGTTTTTTGTTTGATCGCGCTAATCTCCGCAACTACAAGTCTGATTTGAATAATTCTTTTTGTGTTGGATAGTGCATTTATCGAGGATGGCTATAGGGTATAAAACATCACGCTGCTACCAATAGGAGCTGAGCAGAGCGTATGAAACCGCGCGGAAGTAGCTAGTCAGAAATAAAATTAGTGGGCAAAACGATAAGTGAATATAAGGAAGGAATAAAAACAGTTACATTCGGACTACATCATCGATAAAAAAGAATCGACCTGACTTTTCTGCAAAACTTGCCAAGTGAGTCTGAGTGCACATCAACAAGATCACTGCAGCTGTTCGGCAACCCACATATACGGGGGATGGGAAAATTAAAACCAAGGAGAGCTCTGAAGAGGCGGAGGAAGATTATGGTTAACCCTTCTTTGGTAGAGGATGCCAATAGCCCAGCACAGCCTATAAGTATACACTACTTCCACAGGCTGTTGCTGTTGATGATGAACAGCAGCTCTTGTAGTGTAGACGTCCAGTCAACAAGGATGTAGCGAGGTTGACTGTCCAGGCGACACACGTACTTAGGTATCGTCATGAGCTAATGTTCACATGTAAACAGCAGCTCATGTAGTGTAGATGTCCAGTCAATAAGGATGTATTAGTACGTGGCGGGATAAACTCCGGGGCGATCTCATGGCGGAATGGCAGCAACGACTGTCGCAACCGAGGGCTGGGCTCGCTGCCATTGTAGCGGTAAGTCCCCCTTTTGAGGAGTGGCTTGAGAGACGCTACGGCGTCTTCACCTACCACCTGACACAGATCCTCATCGGATATGGGATCGCCTCCCGACATGAACCAGACTCAAGCGTGAAGTGCGTCGTGTTCTGCGCGCGTCTCAAAGAGCCATCAGACCACCATGGATGAGGCCCAATAGGGGTGATTCCGATACGGAGCCGCAGAGAACTTAACGGGTTACCTAAGCTCCGGCTCGATGTGCAGGTGCAAGAGTAGAGATAGTTTTTAGTCAGTAAGAGTCTGACACTCCCTCCCACCTCACCCAGTAGGGAGAAGTCATTCGATGATTTTTCCCCCGTAAAAAAAGTCAACAAGGATGTAGTGAGGTTGACTCTCCAGGCGACACACGTACTTAGGTATCGTCATGAGCTAGTTGTCACATTAAATAAGCAGCCTTTGTTACCGTTTTAAGTACAAATTGAGATTAAAACAGTAGGGATTTGTTTTCCTATTACTGACGTCACAGTTCATGATGATAATATGAAAAGTTCATATTTTTAAACAGTCACAACGGCAGAAAATCCAGTTACATTAACTGACATGAGAGCTTAGTCTTTGCTATCTGCAACTGTGACGTACCAGCGGCAACGGGGACGTACCAGCGTCAAGTGGTGACATAATGTTACTGGTGACTAATTTATTCGATGTCACTGTACAATGTAACGCCCAATTTTCACTACTTATGTTATGAGTTCCATGTAATAGGGGGTGAGCCTATTGCCTTAAACTGGGAATATTTCCAGACTCCGTGCTTCTTTTGAGACTTTTTAAAACCCTAGATAACTAGGGTAAAGTATAAACTTTATGTTGACTTTGTGCAATGTATTGCATTGTATATTATATATTATATATTATTAGTAAGCGCTAAAATGAACTAATAAATTATAAATGAATCAAATAAAATTAACGTAATTTATTAAGCACTTGCGGTTTTGAGACGTACAATTTAAATGAGGTTTTAACATAGAATTTTAAATGATTCATCATTAAACTAAGTACCTAAGGGCGTATTCAGACGGCGCGCGGCGATCACGCACAGAAACCGAGCATGCGATATACCCGCTTTGCGCACGCCTTGCGCCTACTTCTACTACTAGTGTGGGAGAGTTTTCACTTTATCTATTGTGGGAGAGCCATGCTTCGGCACGAATGGGCCGGCTCGACCGAAGTGATACCACGGCCGAGCAGAAAACCGACGTGAAGCAACGCTTGCGTTGTGTTTCGTCATGTGAGTGAGGTTACCGGAAGCCCAATTACCCCCCTTCCCTGCCCTAATGTCCCAAATCCCTGAATCCCCAACGATCCTCAAAGTCCTAATCCCCTAAAGGCCGATAACGCACTTGTAACGCGTCTGGTGTTTCAAGTCCATTGGCGATGTCGAATGCTTATCATCAGGTGATCCGTCTATTCCTTTACCGGCTTATGCCATAAAAAAAAGTGGCGGGAGTACTTTGTTCACTAGGCATAGTAACTTCCAGGAGTTCCAGGTGCCACAAAGTGTGAACCAAAATGGATTTTACTAAGTTATACAAAGTTCTAATTACATTTTATATGCATAAACAATGGAAGATGTCGTGAGGGACCGCAGGGTAAGCCCACTTTTCATGCAAGAGGCTGCGGTTTCGAAACCTACCAACGGCAAGTACCAATATGACGTTTTCCCAGTTATATGTACTTTCTAAGATGATTTAGACACCACTGACAAACGGTGAAGGAAAACATCGTGTAAGTTTGATATCGCCAACCCGCATTGAGCAGAGGCCTTTGGTCAGCAGTGGACACTTATAGGCTGTTGATGTACGCAAGCAATGGAGAAAGAAAAAGACAATCGATACAAGACTAGCCATAGTGCGAGCACAAGGTGTACGCGGCGAGAGTGCACCGCGCGGGGAGGGAAAGCCCAGGGTTGACCCGAGGTGGATGCGGGGCGTGCGCATAGACCTTATTAAATACAATTTGATATCTATTGATGAACTATAAGACTCAAATTCTTATTTAACAAATTTCAATGCGAGTTGGAGGCGGGCGGCTTGTGCTGAGCGTGCGCGTGTCGTGTGGACGTACCCTAACTAGATTTATTTGCCTTGACTAAGGCGAGGGAGTCAAACCCTTATTGACTAAAATCAATAAAAGTATTGAAAAAGGGTACTCTATGGACTTTCTTGCTTGTTCTTCTCCATTGGAATATATTCTTTGGAACGAGCAAATAGCTTTACTAGAGGACTAACCAACAGATTGATCTTTTTGACGTTCAGTAGTCCCATCCCGGTTGAAATAAAATAAAAGATAATGACTTTGACGTCGACTTTGAAGAGTACGGGCGACAAACGGCTTTCATATTTATAACATTAATAGAGCATATGAAATACAGTCGAATGTAGGAAAATATAATAATATATTGAATATCAGTTTTACAGTATTTAGTATGGGTTTACCGCTTATTTTAACCTCAAAATAAACTACTTACTGAGTCACGAATATGATTAAACTGTGACAAAGTGTGTGTTAATGTCCCATTACACTTATAATATAAATCGCCTTCAAGTACCATCACATGGGAGAGCCATGCTTCGGCACGAATGGGCCGGCTCGACCGGAGTGATACCACGGTCGTTCCTCGTGTGAGGGAGATCACCCAATCGTCGCTCTTATTCCTAGTCTCCAAATCCCCCAAAGACCACCGCACTTGTAAGGCCTTTGATGTTGCAGGTGTTCATAGGCGATGTTGACAGCATTAGGCAATTCTTAATTAATTATTAGACATAACATCACGCCTTTTATGTAGGCAGAGGTGCATATTACGGTACTAAAACTGTCAAACACCGCGAGGACACCAGTGTACTCACACCTATTGTTCTTTAATTGTGTCTTAATGACGGTACTCAAAGGGTTAATGCCACTGTACAATGTAACACACGCTTTTCACTATTTATGTTATGAGATTCCACAATTCCAGACTAGTAATATTTTGCCCGACCCGGGAATCGAACCCGAGACCCCTTGCCCGGCAGTCACACTTGCGACCACTCTGCCAACGAGGCAGTCGAGGCAGTTAATTATTAAACTCGCGCGATATTTTGGTGCCCTGTGCCTACCTCATTAGGTAATAAAAACTCTTTGGGTGATCCACAAATTGTTGTTCCGAGTATATATTATGTTGGTCATGCTCACTCGAAGATCGAATCGTGGATCGCTCGATTCCCTACAATATGGTTGAGTTGGGCGATGCTGTTGTACGTGTCATGTTCGTGAACGAGATGAGTAACCTATGGAGTTTTTTTGCTCCTTCTTCTCCATAGGAATGTACACCGTGGAGTGAGCAAATAACTTCACTTTCAATTTATTTTTTGTTGACATTCAAAAGTGCCTTCCTGGTCTAATTGACACACACTAACGACACATGGCATATTCTTGGATTCGGGCAATGTTCTTTAAAACCAAATCCAGCCAAAACTGGTTATTACTTTCTACATGTTCTATTATGTATGTTGTTATATAATTTAATACCTTGTTATCTTACATTATGTTCTTTATTTACAGGTGAAGAAAATTTAAAAATAAGTATACCTAAGGATACTGGTAATTGTTCAATACCAAAGCCTAATTACAAGTTCAGAGAAGGTCAAAATTTGACTATAGAGCTGTCAACGGATCCTTTCGTCAACTATGGCTGGTAAGTTCCTCTTCTTCATCATTATTTTATTATCAATGAAAGTGTGGGAGTCATTTTTTTATGGCATAAGCAGGTAGTCGAGCAGACGGATCACCATCGGCGTCACCCTCACACCTGGAACAACAAGTGCGTCACCGGCCTTCTGAGGATTAGGAGTTTGAGGATCGTTAGGGATTCAGGGATTGGGGAGATGGGGGAGCGGGGCAATTGGGACTCAGGTAACCTCACTCCCGCGAAACACAACGCAAGCGTACTACGGCCTCACAAGAAACCGGCGTTAAACTACCACAGCATGGTGTTTCGGTTCGTGAGTGAGGTTTATGGTGACTCACAGTAAATCCTCTCCAATAGGATAGTAGTCAGTAAATGAAAATTAAAAATGTATTTAGTCCATCAGTGAGATAATGAAAGAATATTCAACACGTAGGTATATTTTCACTTTGTCGTATAAGAAAACAATACTTAGATAAAACGGAGTTAAGTTTAGGAGTCGGAGGTCGTTACGTCACGGTACCCTATAAAATGTAGTAAATAGGTACGGTCGAAAGTACCTATTTAATTTTGTAAGAAAAGAAAAAATGCGTGTCTAATGTTTTAAAATAATCTGCCAGACGGACATTAAAATAAAATTTAAGTGTCGGAGAGCCATGCTTCGGCACGAATGGGCCGGCTCGACCGGAGTGATACCACGGCCTCACAGAAAACCGATGTAAAGCAACGCTTGCGTTGTGTTTCGTCGTGTGAGTGACTCCCCAATCCCTGAATCTCAAACGATCCTCAAACTCCTAATCCTCAAAAAGCTGGTGACGCACTTGTAACGCCTCTGGTGTCTCAGGTGTCCATGGGTGACGCCGATTGCTTACCATCAGGTGATCCGTCTGCTTGTTTACCGACTTATGCCATAAGAAAAAAAAAATTAGGATACTACCCTATCAAAAAATCCATAAATCTTCAACCCTTAAAAGGCCGGTTACATACTTGTTACTAATAATTATATTAATGCTTAAGCCAATTTATTTATATTCTTTTTGTAGGTGGCGTTTAAAGAACTCTAATAATGAAACATTTACAATCGACAGCTCCTTCAAAAGCAACATGACTAAACAACATGTAAGTATTCCTTGTGGTTCTAATTTTATTCTATTTAATAGCTTTTGCCCTCAACTTCGTACGCGCAATCCCGTTTTATCCCGTTTTATCCCGTTTTCTCCCGTTCCCGTAGGATTTTCAGGACAGTTTCTGTCTTGAGAAACTTTTCCTAAAAATCCTTACTATTATAAATGGGAAAGTGAGTTTGTTTGTTTGTTTGTTTGTTCCGCTTTCACGCCGTAACTTCTAAACCGATTGCTTTGAATTTTTGCAGACGTAAAGTTAGAAGTCTGGATTAAATAATAGGGTACTTTTTATCCCGGAAAATTTTGATATTTCCCAGCGAGAACAAAAGAATTGGTATATATGGCGTTGTGTGTATTGGTATAATAATATGTCACATAGGCTACTTTTATCCTTTTGTGACGCGAGCGAAGCCGCGGGTAAAAGCTAGTCTTATATAAAGCGGAAGAGTTTGTTTTTTTCTTTGTTTGAACGCGCTCATCTCCGTAACTACAAGTCTGATTTAAATAATTCTTTTTGTTTTGGATAGCGCATTTATCGAGGATGGCTATAGGTTATAAAACATTACGCTACGACCAATAGGAGCTGAGCAGAGCGTGTGAAACCGCGCGGAAGTAGCTAGTTAGGTAAAAATACAACAAAAAAGAGTTTGTGAAATCGGTCCATCCATTCAAGCGTCATGCCGTGACCAAGGGAAAAAGGGATTCCTTTTTATATATCTATAGTGTACGAGCTGTTTGCCTGTACACTGAGATGTGTTTGTTTTTTTTTTAATCTCATTTATTGTAAGGGATTTTTGTACACATTTTGTGACGATGTCAATCCCATCGTGCTTCTACATAACGAATGTATTTACAACTTAAAACAAAATAACTTAGTCTAACTTATCTATCTAATAAC